CAGGCCTTCCGTAGTGGGGTGGTAGTAGCTGAGAGTCGTACCCAGTCTGTGGATCAGGCCTTCCATTGTGGGGTGGTAGTAGCTGAGAGTCATACCCAGTTATGGATCAGGCCTTCCATTGTGGGGTGGTAGTAGCTGAGAGTCGTACCCAGTCCATGGATCAGGCCTTCCGTAGTGGGGTGGTAGTAGCCGAGAGTCGTACCCAGTCCATGGAGCAGGCCTTCCATCATCGAGGTTTTGCTCATATTCTGTCAGAGCTGCACAGGATTATTTTACTGGACCTACTTTAAAAAATAAAATAAAATCACAGAATCCACCTGAAAATCCAGGATGGTGGCCATTTTTCAAGATGGCCACCATGTGGTATGAGACGAACTTCTTCTTCCCCGAGTCGTTTGACTGTTCATTCATTCCACTCATGTAAAACTGAACATGGTGGCTGATGGAAATGCTTCGGCCTCGAGCGCTCACAGAGCAGCTCGGTGCTTTAGTCAAATCTTGTACGAGAAGTTTCTGTGATCAGTCCATGAAACGCTCCAGGCTCGAACAGTTTCTATCAGAACCCCTGACACAAACCAAATGGGAGAAACGGTCCCGTCAGGAGATCCTGACTGAGCTGAGCCTTCTCTCCTGACGGTGAAGTCCCAGCCAATGAGAAGGCTCCTTCAAGTCTGTGTTTAAAACCGTGTCCTGTTGCGTACTGGTGTTAGTTTTGGAGCCTGTGTGTCACTCGGTTCTTGGTGTGTTTCAACAGAACCTACGCTGCAGGAGGCGTGTGCAAGTCCACGGCTCGTCTGGACGGGAAGACCGTCCTCATCACCGGAGCAAACACGGGGATCGGGAAGGAGACGGCGCTGGACCTGGCAAAGAGAGGTGGTGTAGGATTAAAGTATTCCTGGTTCTGGATTCATCTGTGCCATGGAGTATAGACAAAACAGCTGTAACGGGTCAGAGTCAAACAGCTGTAACGGGTCAGAGTCATACGGCTGTAACGGTCAGAGGCAAACAGCTGTAACGGGTCAGAGTCATACGGCTGTAACGGGTCAGAGACAAACAGCTGTAACGGGTCAGAGACAAACAGCTGTAACGGGTCAGACAAACAGCTGTAACGGGTCAGAGAAACAGCTGTAACGGGTCAGA